AATAAATAATAAATCAATTGTTTAATGTTTATAATTCCCTAAATATAGAAAGCATGAACACAAATTAATATTCTGTTTAACTTGCTGATGTGAATTTAAGTAAGGAAGTTAACTTGGCCAAGCCAAAGTTTAGGTTCCCCTGAAGCTGTTTAATTTAATTTATTTTTTTTTTGTTTTAAAGCAAAAAACAATATTCTGATACGAGCACTTACAATTTTATTCCCTTTACGGCAGCTAAATTATACAGTTGACAGATTTTCAGTACAACAATAAAAACTTAATTCAGAAATAACTAAAAAAGTATTAAAAGCTTAAGAAAACACTACTTTAAAATATCTATTTAAATACTTTTTTTGACATTTACTTTATTATAAAGAATTAACATCGCACAAAATGACGAATAGACCGGTGATATACAAAACCTTATATTCTTCGGCTTAAAAAATAGTAAATTTGTAAATTTTTGTTTGATTTAACTTACGAAACGACCTACAAAATGGGGTATGTTTTAAAATGAATTGCATCACCTTTAAATTTTGATAAAAGTTTTCTCAGAGCAGTTTTTTTCTACTTACATTCCAACTAGTTTTTTGGTATACTTTATGCAAGTGTATAAAAAGCTTGTAATTACATTACTGATATTTGATTAACAAAAAGTGAATCTGACTTGCATTTTACTTCTGTAAAACCTTGCATACTTATTAAAAATAAAACAGGAAATTTAATAGCAAGTAGCTACAATTTTCCTTTTATTAAAGTGTAACACTTCACTTAATTAAGAGAAACAAAAAACAAATTAAATGAGTTCGACTTTGACGTGAATAAAAACCATCTACAATTTGTGGAGTTAAATCCCTAATGGTCATTTTGGAAGTGAAAGATCAATTATTTTCCCAGCTTATGGGGACAATAATTACGAAAGTAATTTTGAAACTGTTGGTAATTAGGAAGGCCCCACATTAAGTGGAAACTGTCATCAGGCGAAATCGCACAAATTGTGAATTTAATGGGTAGGCCAGGCCAGGCTCTAATACCAAGTCGACCCAATTCGGCCGCAAAACATGAATGTCTTTCATTAGAGGTCCCGGGTATTTTGGATAAATATATATTTACTACACATGTTCGGCTGGGAATCGTTAGCCCAGTGGAGCGCAGCGACAAAATGAAACAAAATGGAACAAATCGAGTCGACCTTTTCCCCGTAGTCCCCGTAGTTCCCTTTCTCTAATCTAAATTAATTGCCAGCACAAATTAGCCAGTCCGGCGAACATTTTGGACATTAGGCCTGGGACTCGTGGGGTAAGGACACACCAGGGGTGAGGGGGCAGTGCAATCCCCAATTGTTGGCACAACATTCGCCAAACAATTCGACATTTAACATACAACAATACGCAGGTAATGCCAGGTAAACATGGCAAACTGTCGCTCGTTACTTTTAATCAGTTATCAAAATTTATGGGCAACAATTTGTCCGGTCAGCGCGAAAATTTCGCATTGTGTTGTGTTCATTCGCGAACTGGAGTCCATTTTCAAATATTTACGCCAATTTAATGAGGTTCGGGCCTGGCGGCGCGGATGTTTATCGCCCCCTCAAATTAAACAGAACGACGCCCATGCACTCAAACAATATTGTTTGCTGAAAAAATAAGAATTTTTCTTTTCGGCTGCTATTTGTATATAGTTAAAAATGTTAACTTAAAATAAATAATATAAAATAATATAATACAAGCTTGTTAAAAAATTAATGCATGCATAAGAATGTGTGTATTTAAATTAAATGATTATGTAATAATTTTAATTTTAATAATTTATTATGAGCAGACTCTTTAATTTTAAATGGATTGACCTATTTTTTATGGTTCATGTACTCGAAAAGTAAAAATTAATCAATACCCTTCACTTGTTAAAAAAATGTATGTACTACTACTTCCCTGGTCCTAGAATAATTTTCAAAAACACACCAAAGATTACTGATATCACTAGAACCCTATAAAGTTTGGTTTTGAGTGTGGCTAGTCATTTAAAGTTAATGAGGATGGCCACAGGGATGACAATGAATGCAATTCGATATTTTGTTTCGGGGCTTACAAAACTATTCCCATTTTGTGAACAGTCACCGCCGAGGGCGAAACTAAATTTGAGTTTCAGTTTTCCGAAATTTGGCCACTCGTATTACTCGAATGCGAAATGTGTTTTTGTTTTTGTTAGCCAAAATAGATTCCATCGGAGTTTTAATAGCCAAGGAGATGGATATCCTGCCGCATTCGGTTGTTTATCATCAGTTGGCTAGAAGAAGGGGGGAAATGCCAGTTTGGTTGCTACTCGGAAAAGCCCCGCGGCTGTTTTCCCAGCCCAAGTAACAACAAATGGGATTGGGAGATGGAAAATGTGGGGAAGGATGATATATATAAGGGTGGGGGCCTAAACCACGGCAGGGCATAGGATAGGGTCGGGGGTTCGGGAACCGAGGAACTGGAAACGCTAAGCAAACAGAGAGATGGAGAAGGAGCAATCGGTGGAAATAAAATATTAACTCAGCCCCGACTCTCCAGCTCACGATTCAATTAGAAGCGAAAGCCATTTTATAATTGAAACGAGACGAGAGGAGCCTAAGGCCCCAATTCCCCCCGCCTCCCAGGCGAAAGCCTTTTCAATCTAGGCCGAACTCAGGGGGGCGGAAAATAATACACATCGATAAATATTAGCTGGGGGAAAATGATGCAGGCAGCAGCAAAGATTATTATTCATTACGGATCCGACTTCATCCTCGGCTATTCCCCCGAGTAATTGAAAAGTTTTTCCCTTCCTCATCTTAGGGAATCTTGCCTTCAGATCCAGAAACAACGCCAAATGCTCAATTTGTCACCGACCAAGGAAGCAGGGGCGGTTTGGATTTGAAGGCGTGGCAGACTGACAGATGATGCGAGTGACTAAGCAGAAAATGCTTGAAGGAAATATACTCTCCCCCAGTTCCGTGATTATGATTGAGTTGATGTAGTTAATATGCTATCGACAAAGATGACGATTTCAGTTAGGGGTTGGGTGTAACTCCGCTTTAGGAAGTGCAACCAGCTCCATGCTTGTCTGCTGCTCCATTAAAATCAGTTACAGGGAGTTACCCCTCCAGAAAAACACACAGCCAAAGACACACATTTTCCCTCGTTTATTTGTCTTTTGAATTATTAATGCACTCGCTGAATGACTTCGAAAGCCCAAGGATTCCAGTTCTCCCTCTGCAGATGCGACTGCTTGTGCTCCTTTTCATCAGGATAAAGGTGATGATGATGGGGCCGAAGTGGAAGGTGGCTGGATGTGCTGATGATCTGGTCCTTAATCAAGTGACTCACTGCGATTCCCGCAGGCGCTCTTTTGGGCGCAGATAAGTTTAATTAAAAAGACCGCAACATTCTTTGGCTTAACTCGGGAATTGCTTCCCGTCCGCTGGAAAACTATCTTGCGTTGGCGAAACTTTAAAATTCCAAAACTGTTTCAATGCAAAAAAGAGAAATCGGAAAATAAAGGCAGCAAACTTTTCTGATTTCGATTTTTATTGCGGCCAGAAAATGGGGAAAACCAAAAGGAAGAGATAAGTTGGGAATGGAAATGAAGCAGTTCTGGTTGCTTCTTGGCAATAATTTTATTTTGGGAGCACTCGACTGTCCCGGTTACATTGCCAAAACCACCATCCCCAACCAATCACCCACCGCCTCTTGCACTTTGACCTACCTTCCCCTGCAGTTGGCATTCCTTTCGGGTTACCTGCACACGCAACCACCAAGGATAAGGGGGCAATGGATAAGAGGTAGGGGGAAGGAGCAGCTGAATAAACACGTAGACCAAACAACAATGAGCCAAGAGGGGTAAGCCACCTCAACCACTTGAACCACAAACATTTCGAAAGCCAAAAGTTGTTCCCTTTTCCCAGTTCATAATTTATGCCAAACAAACACATAAATATTACCTCAAATTTATTAAAGCACCAGCCATTTCCAACCACCGACTCATATGCGAAGAAAGTAAGTGGGGATGGATCTCTTTTGGATCCCCTAAGCTGTTAATCATTTTGCAACTTTCTAATTACTTTTGCAGGGAACAAACTTTTTATTTTGCTTCTGAACCACACGTAACCACATATACAGACCCAAAATCCGTAATCCAAAATCTTCTAACTGAGGAAATCCCCTCCTTATAAACGCATTTCCTTTTGTCAACTTCTGTTTTCTTTTCTGCATTCTGATTTGCACTAAACTAAATCACTTTCTATTCACCAGGAACCGAACTTTAACGAGAAAGAAATTGGAGGAGAGTTGGGTAGATGGAGAAAGGAGAAAGGAATATGCAGTGACCAGCAGCAGAAAAGTGGACAAAGTGACAGGCGATAGCCGCAAAACAACACAGGAAAAGTGGAAGGCAGGACCAGTTGACAGGAGCTCAGCCAATAAAAGCCAACCAAACTCAGTCCGGGCCAAATTTGGACACACTGATGCAAAAGGGCAGCGGAGGAGGCCAACAGCAACCGCAGCAAAACAAAACTGGAAAAGTTGGTCTAAAGGACTGCAGAAGGGGCAAAAGAGGAGCAGCCAGCGGAAGCCGAGGCTGAAAAGTTCCCAAATTTGGTAGACAGACCTCTTTCAGGCCACCCCATCCCATCTCAGTTCCCACTTCCTACCGGAACAGTTAGCAGCAGTTGGAATTTGATTTTAACGCTGGGATCTGTTCTGAGTCCTCTGTTTGTGGCACCAGCAACTGACAACCATCACCCAAAGCAGGGGCAACTGGCAGCCGAATTAAAATCCGCACCAGGGAAACTTCACCCGGAAAACTCCACTCCCCCCTCCCTTCAAGGATACGCATCAATGGAGACACATTGAGATTGGCTGTCAAAGGGAGGATCCGGAAAAGGGAAGTGGAGCTGTGGAAATGCTCGCCACTTGCGGCGACACATGCTCTGACAACTTATTGACTCCTCGCAGCACCCACTAAACAAAACCCACTCCACCATGGGACTCCTCCCGCCGCCCATCCCGATCCTGCTCTTCTGCCTGGCGATATCCACATCGGTCAGCGGCTATCTGAACATTTTCATCAGCCACCACGAGGTGATGAAACTGATGGGTAAGTCCAGTTGCAGTTCCGGAATAGCTCCTAATCCATTAATGAAACCTCGATGGGGAAGTGACACACCCACTCCAACCCAGATCTATGATTAATAGTTGGAGGCCAAAGTGCGACGGGACAAATTCATTGATCCCTGAACACGAAAACACAAACAGTTCCCGAGGTTGGGGACCATGTCACAGTCATTAATAGTTCCGAAATTATAGTTGACCATTAAGGAAAGGTTGGTTGATGGAGGGGAGGTGGAAAATAGGTGAATACTTATCCAGGCGAAGCAAAACAAATCGCACACAAATCGATTTCCGCCGGGCCTAAACCATCCGCCTCCACCTTGCTGACAGCTGCAAGTAGCTTTTCCGTTTTCCACTTTCCTCGAACATTTCCTTGGCACCCTCCTTCAACCCATGTTCTCCTTGTTTGTTTTCTTGTTTTTCCGTTTGTTGCTCCACGCGAATCCTTGTTATTGATGGCGCCGGCTCCAGATCGAGCCAAGGCCAAGTTCCCCAGCCCCAAGAACTCCTCCTGGTGGGAGCTACACGGATTTCATAGACGTGCCAAGGCGGAATGGCCTCGTGCTTGTCGTTTGGCTCGCGATTTCCCTGCTCCTCAGGTTGATTAATGGAGCTCAGAAATACAGGATGGGAAACTCCGATGGGGAGGCATGGAAAACTGGCCTAGTTCGTGCTACTCCATCAATCGCCGCTTAGCTGGTCACAGCGTTTTCCGGCACTTAGCTGTAATTGGAGCATAAATGCTTCCATCTCATTATGCAGGTTCTCCACTTCGTTTCCTGGTTGCCAAATCAGGGCACTTCAATTAGCTGATGGCGTAAATATAATCCACAGTCGGATGGGAATGGATACTAGATTGATGGATGAATAAGCTGCGCTGCATCCAATTATTCTCATCCATCTGCTACCATCCATCTCTCAAGGCATTCAAATGCATTCCGGATCACTGGGGCAAGTGGGCTCCTTCCTGGCAATTGCACTTTATAAGCAACCTTCCTGGCAATTGCACTTTATAAGCAACCATCACCATCACTTCCCACTCTCTGAACTATTTACCCCGCATGCAAATCGGATTTCATTAGCGACATTTCAAAAGATGTTTCCACTTTGTTTGTTGCTCCTCGCCATTTCCTTTGCTCCACCAGAGGGGATTCCTTTTGAGCTTTATCCCAGAACTCCTCCATCCATTTCTAAAAGCTCGTTATGTTTCTAACGACCAGTTAACACCCCTGGTATATTTCCCCCCTATTTGCGATGGTTGCCACCCTCTGAGTTGTTTCGATTTGAAAATTAACAAGCAGCATGAAATCAAACAAACTGACCCTCATCCTCCTGGTTTTTCTCACACCCTCGATGAAAAATTCCTGTGCATGATTTTCCCCTAGACTTCCACCTCATTTCCCTTTCATCCTCCGCTGCTTTTCCGTCTCCATGGGAGTTTCTTCATGCGGAAGATCCGTCACGGATGCATGAACTAGTTCCGTTTCCATGGGATTCTCTTGATGCATTTCCCCACATGGAAATATAGACTTTCTTCCTATAGTTTGTTGTGCACTTTTCGGCTCTTTTGATGACTTTCTCTGTGCAGAAAAGTAAACAAAGTTCAGATCTGTCTTCCCATTTCGTCTGTAGTGTCAAAGCCGAATCCTTGAACTTTGGCCTTCCATAATCCTGAACACCCCCTCCCTTGTTTCCTTCGATGAAGTGTCGACAGCATTAAAATTAAATATTTTCTGCGCTTTTGTTGGAGATTTTCCGCCTCTGAGTTCAATTTGGATGTGTTGTCCCAGCAACGAACCATTTTCCCCGTTGCCACCGACTCCGTCACCCTCCCCCCCCTTTCTGAAACCCCCCTTCCGTTGAAGACTTTCCTGTTCAAGGGTGCGTAAAAATGCAATTTCAACAAGTTTCGCTTTGATGTGCACACTTTTTCTTTGCCACCCGATCCCTGGTCCCGCCCTTCGGACCTGCTTCCATCTGCCCCACCCCAGGGTGGACCACAACCTTCGGCGGGTGAGCTCAGAAATTTCCCTGCAAATGAAAAGTTAATGCAAAAGAAAATTATTTTTAATGAATAGAAAACAGTCGAAAAATCCCCACATTAGTATGCTTCCCCCAGGAGATGTTCCGTCTTCAAGGGTGGTTCGGCATCTGGAATCCATCTTAATTGCCCAGAAATTGGGGGAGCAGTAGAGGGGAGGAAATCAGAAACTGTGCCAATTGAACGAGCACTTCTCATCTCTGATTCATTGGACAATTAGCAGGAAGCCCTTAATCAGCGACAAGGTGAAGGTGCACTCCCCTGGGATCCTGAGATCGGAAGAGGAGGATTACGAGAAGTGCAGTGCACCTCCCCTACTAATGACACTAATTATCCTCGTAATCTTTTATGCAAATAGTGTCTCCTCTTTGTTGGCAATGTGAGAGCTGCAAAACCTACACGGCACTGAGATTCACCTCAGCCGTTTTCTGCCAGTCTTCCGCTTTCATCCCACTTTCTGCTCCATCCCTGGAATCATATATGCCCCCCTTTTCCCCTATATAAGAATATGAGTTGCGGTCGCAGAGTCACGTGTGTGTGGCGGAGTCATTCAGACAATCGCAATTGCAGGAATTATAATTACGACCAGGGAGGAAGGCAAGTTGAGGTGGTATTACCATGGAAGAAGGGGTCTTAGAGGAAGAGAGCTGAGAAGAAAGGGGGGCCTCCATAAGCGCGGCGAAACTTTCGCAGGCAAAGTTGGCGGCACCGTGATATGAAAGACGAGCAAAGTTTGAGACTGAAAGGGGATTCCACGAGATATCCCATCCAGGAGCAAGATGAACTTATACAGGGGGTGAGAATGCCAATTGATGCTGCTTAAAGTGCAGTTCAGGATGGTTCTCCCCAGTGAAGCCAATCGAGGTGACAGGAATTACAAGGGTTACGGGAATCGAGAGATTGAGCATTTCTGACATCCTGAAATCAGGACTGAATTAATTGCGGCAGTCACTTATTCAAATACCTTCCACTTCCCTGGAACTTCCCTTGGAATGGCTGACAAAAAAAGGTAAAGGACTAAAAGGCACAGGATGACATAGGAACATTGTCCTTTTTCCGTGCTTTTGCATATTTGATGGGAAGCACTTTGGGGTTATGTTTGTGTTTTCCCACTAGCTCAAAGAAATTTCGTGTAGCAGCAGGTAGTTGAGGAACCAGAAAAGTTGGAGGAAAGTGGTGCACTTGGCCCAGTCTGAAACCCAGGCTAAAAACGCGACGGGGAGCAAAGCAATTTGGGACTCAAAAACAAACCAGAAATGAAAATGAGAGAGTGGAAAACGCATAGAAAACTGAACTGGCGTGGAAAACAGTCTGAAGATGGAGATGAAGCTGAGACCTGGATGAAAGCTAACAAAAATGCTTTTTCTTGTTCTGTAATTGGATTTAAAATTGTTTTAAGCAGCTAGCGAGCGCTTTGTTCTATCCTAAATGCAGGGGCTTTCCTCTTTTCCTTCCAATCACCCCCATTTCGGTCCGCCGGAAGCGGAATTGCTACATTCAACATCCGGCGGAGTCTGAGGAAGAACAAGCAGCAGCAGCTCGAACTTGAAGCGGGTAAACATCCAGGACACCACTCCGCTCCCACTCCTTTTGGCTCTGGTGAATAGCGAACTTAGCCTGATCCCGTGGAGTAAATAATGCACCCCCATAAGAGGTGGGCGAGGAATAGAAGTAGGAAGAGCCACAATAAAAGCGGATGAAGAAATTTAATTTCACGTCGTTTTAACTCAACCAGCTCGTCTTTCAATGCCAGCGGGTGGGGAGTTCGGATGGAAAGTGAGAAAGATCAGGATACTCCAGGACTTTTGAACGCTCCAATACGGTTCTATCCGATGAGGAAGCAGTCGCAGTTGACACCTTTTAATATCCCCACCCGAATCCCTTCTCCCAGAAGACCTTATCCTAGTCCTAGAGGAGAACTCGAGACACTCCCTGCATTCTCGCCTGCTGGTGACGGATTCGATTTCGATTATTATTGTGTCTTGGGTTTTGTTTACCCACCAGCATTGTCACCTCGGCTTTCCCTTTTCCCTTCCTGCCTCCTCCACTGAGAAAATCAATTTCCTCTTAATGGCAGAAAGAAGCGCTCGAGGGGAGTGTAAACAGAAAATGCACAAAGTTTGCTTAGCAGGGGGAAACCCAGGGCTCTAATGGAGTGGGTGTGGCCCGGCAAATTGCGGGGAAACTTTCGCTTTACGTCTGCAGTGCATCCGCACCTACACTCACCTACTAACTGCACATCCTGTTGGTTCTTCCATCCCCGCAGGACTCGAGGCGGACCTGTTCTATGTGCACGAGGGAGCCATCAACACATACGCGATGCACTTCACCGTCCCAGTGCCTGCGGATGTCCATGAGCTGGAGTTCTCCTGGCAGAGTCTCATCGCCTACCCGGTGAGTTTGGTGACTCCCGCCATCCCCAAACCGTCTATGATTAACCACTCCGCCTTCTTGCAGCTGCCGTATGCCATCAGTATCGAGTACAACACCGACCAGGAGGCACTGGGCACGCCCACGCTGAGTATTCCGCACAAGGGTCTGGTGCCGCAGGAGATCGAGTCCTTCCTGGTCTACCTGCCCTGCACCGGAAATGCGAGCCTGCAGATGCCCGTCAATGTCAACATGGTGGTGCGAGCTCCACCCCGTTTCAACGACACCCGGCTCCACTTCAAGCGCAACAAGATCTGCGCCAAAGGTGGGTTCCATCACACCCACACCCACACCCACTTAACCATCACTCATCGGAATTTCGTTTTGTAGGCATCTCACCCGAGCCCAATCAATCGCCAGCCCCCGCCCACGCCCCCTCACAGGGACCCGCCCTCCTGAGTGCCGCCGCCTGTGCCCTGGGTTTGGTTTTGGCCGTGGGCCTGGTTGCCAGCATGATGTATGTTAGGGCGCGCAAACAGCTTCGCCAGGACTCGCTACAGTGGGTTAACCGCCACCCTATTGCCTTTAAACCATTAACACTCCCTTTCCCCAACCCTGTTTTTAGCACCAGTTTCACCACCGCAGCTTATGGCAGCCACCAGAACGTGTTCATCCGACTGGATCCCCTGGGAAGACCCCCGAGTGCCACGGGATCCTATGCCACCATAGCCAGCCTCAACAAATACCCTGCGGAGAGCAAGAAGTCGTGCAGCATATTCGACCGTAAGTTCATTACCCACACACAGGTCTGTTTTGATGACCTCTAACCCGGGAAATCCCACAATCAATCCACAGGTTTCAGGAGCTCACCCACTCCCACGCCCTACGCCACTGCCCTGCTGCCCATGAACCTCGAACAGGCCGCAGAGACGATTTACTCGAAGCCCGAGTCGATCTGTCCCTCGAGGATATCCTACTACGCCTCCTCGCAACTGACCCAGGTGAGTGCTGTGATTCCACTATCTAGTCCACTATCGGCTATCCCTTGGGCTTGATTGGACTTGAAATGGGGATTCCGACTGGGTCCACTGCGGAATCAAAGCCTTTGATATATTACGACACGTGGCGGCGCAAATGGAAATGGCAATACCCTTGAAGTAGACTCTCCTTTCCCCGTTGCCAGGACTACCCTCTAATTTGTGCCGAGCACCACTCGATTGCTCCCCAGGCGGAGGACCCTTCATCCAACCACCTTTCCTCGACGATAAAAATTAAATTCTAATTTATATTTACGAGCTGATAAAGCTCCCGTAGTGCGTTAAACTCGAAACAAGAGCCATTCATAAATATGCGGCTTTTGCCACCCGCTCGCCCCTCAAGGATGTCTAGATGTCTGGTGTCTGGTACTGATTTCGGAAGGGGAAACTTTCGTGCGGCGCGCACGTACCTCATGTGGCAGGTGGAAAGCATGAACTAGAAGGTGGAAAGTGGGCGAAGGTGAGGCGACACACAAACCCAGTGCCTCGAGAGGCAAATGATGTGAGTCCCTTGAGGAAGGGCTGGGATGTCCGCTTAGATAAGCGAAAGGTGCTCCATTGAGGCAGACGCAGACAGTCTGCCCCTGTTTATCTTAGCTTTGTTTCCAATCCAGTGAATTTCAGGCAGTGTATGCCCCTTGGGCGAAAATTAGTAAACTTAATCCAAACTAACCACGGAATGAACCGAAACCATTAAGGATCCTTTAAAAACATTGGGATTATTCCCCAACAACTTGGGGCTTGATGTCTCCTCCTTAAAGGCACTTGCCCCCTCTAGGGAGAACATTAGCATTTCTTTCGGGCCAATTAACTTCTTGGTGTTGTAGAAATCTCTGGCAAATTGGAATAAATTATTTAGCAGCCTTTTTCAATTGTTGTCCTTGTAAACATTCCTGAGACCCAACTCTCGAATTTTTCTAGTCCTCCGCCACTCTGTCTAACATCATGATGTCTAGGCCATTTTCGTCACCAAAGTCTAACGCAATTTCCATCGACGCATAATTAAATATTCAATTTCCATGGGGACTCGAGGGGATTTTTATGTGCTTGGCTTAAAGCAGCTCCCTTGGCCTGATCCTGTCTGTTTGCCCAACGAATTCAGTTTGTTTAGACTTCAATTCCATCCTCATTATGAGAACAGCCTCCCATTGCAGATGGGATGGGAGGCAAGGGCTGCTCCTCCACTCACCCACTCGGTTATCGGGCCACACACAATGCCAAGAGTCATATCCATTTGGGTCCGCTCTATCTAGTGGAAGGATGCACGCATCGAAGCAGACGGCAGGGAATTAAATGAATTCCCCATCTCCCTCTAGCTTCGCCTCTATCCCAATCTCTCCTAGGATATACATAATTCCCCCATTTCCACCAAAATCGGAGTGGATATTCTCTTGGATGCGAAGTGGGGATGTCGAAGGGGGTGTGGTTGGAGTTTGAGAGTGCTTGCCATAATTATTGTTGTTCCGTTCTGTTCAGCTCCCCATCCAAAGGATCCTTTGCACCCAGACCCCAACCCACTCCTTCCTTCTGGCCATGTGTGAGCGTTAAGCGAAGTATGGCACATTTTGGGGGCACAAACAAGAGGCGAACGCACTCATTTAGTCAAACAATTATATCCAATTGCACACAGATACTCTACGCACCCACACACACACATCCGAAGTCTGGCTCTGTTCATTTGTGTGGAAATATCTCATTTGTGCGGGGATTCAACCCCTCTCCCTCCCCTTTTGATTCTATTAAATCAGTCTATAAACGTCGACCAAATGGCTTTAATGTGCAGCGAAAGTTTAGCAAAAAGCAGTAACAGTAGAGGCCATTCCATGGGTTTGGAAGGGGGTTGGAAGGGGTTCGTAAGGGGGTTCAGAGGGAGATGTTCTTTATGGAAGTAGTGGCACATAACAATAAAAACAGCAGCGGGCAGAAAGCAGGCTACAGCTGTTGAAACATGACTCGGTGCTTGTTTAGAAACACTTGCAAAATATTATTGCAGCACCAACAACAAAAGCCAAATTCCTAGGGGGTGGCTTCAAGCAGGGACCACAGGGCGGATGCGCCATTTGCAGGAGATCCAACAGCCATGGAAACAGACTCCAAGCAGAGGCATTAGTATATTGGATCAGCTGGAAAACGAGAGCAAACAGTGGAATCAGAGCAAAAAGACCCAGTTAGGCTGTAATGGGTTAAGCAGAAGCCAAGAACATCGTGCCACGCATTTGAATGGCATCATTAGGGGGAAAGTTGTCGAAGTGCTTGGGCGTACTCGCAGTACTGAGGAAATTACGAGGCGAGCAGCGAGGAAAAGTTGGAAATTAATTTCCATGGAGCTGCGAGCATGTCCTCCTGTTTTATGGAGATTACTGGATCGACAAATGGCTGACTAACCTGAACAACAGCAGAAACAGGTGCTAATTAAAAATGTTGTTGGCGCCCCATTAAAGAAATTTGTAAATCAACCTGCTCAGCGGGGGAGCAAGTCAAGCTCCATGGGGGGAATCCTTTATAAAGGGGAGCTAGACTTGCTTGGAAGTAGGAAGTACTTCTACCCAGTTGAAGTTGGCGACACGTACTCCCTTAATGGATTTACCACTGTTGTTGCTTTTGATTAAAAGACATTACTTACATTTGTGACAAATCTGAGGGGGAAGATAACAAAAAGTTAGGCTAGTGTAAAGACAGTTAATGGCCTTCGTGGTATGTGACGACCCACCAGGTGACGAATCCAAGGGGTTAAGCCGCCGAACAAAAGCCGTCGCCAAAGGTTGACAAATTACCCAACCGTCGGTCGATATTTTTTCAAGTCGCTCAACTCTCGGCCATCCGCTGGGGATTCCCTTTTGGTCCGGCAAACTGCGGCGGATGCGGATGTGGATGCGGATGCTTTTGTCTGGCATTACACTATATTGATTGCTTCCTGTCAGCCGCAGGAGAGACAAACGGAAGTGGCGGATGTTTCTTTTGTTCCGATTTTTCCTTTGTGATCCAAGGACCAAGGACTTTCTCCCCCACACCCTCCTCTATTCCAGGCTGTAACCACACACTGCACTTCACTTTTTGCGTTGGTGGTGCAACATGGAAATCGTTTGGGCCAAAATTAGAGAACAAGATTTCTCCATTAAAATGTTTGTACTCAGCTTTAATTGACATTTGGTCCACTGCTCGTTTAAGTGCCTTTCTTGGGGGAGCAACGAACTGGTCAAATGTGCCAGCCTGGCGATTCTGAATTAATTTCCATTTTACATTTTGCAAAGTCAACAAACCGAGAAAATCAATGGAAATCAATGGAAATCCGTGTGGGACATATGTAAAGTGTGCAACCGCATTATTAAATGCTGAATCGAAAGGTGGGGAGTGAAAAGTTAAGAGGTTGGGGTGGTTGGGTGGCATTGAAAAGAGGCGGCCAGACAGGTGAGTGCCCTGGGGGGCGTGGCCGGGACACGCAATGGCTAATTGAAAGGCAATTATGCGTGATTAAGTGCGTGTAAGCGGCGACTTTGCTTAAGTATGCGCCACCTTTAATTAGAAACCGGTAAAACTCAGGCCAACCGCCAACCGCCATCTTCCCCTCTTCAATTATGCATTAAGCCAAAAGAACCTTTTTGGTTGCCCCGAAAACGCTTATTAAACGACGGGCCTAACGAGGTCGTCTCATCAAAATGCCATGCATCAAAGGAGGCCAGAGTGAGGTGGTTAAGGGGGCGGTGTTGGCCATGGCCAAATCGATCAGGCATAAATCAAACGAAATTCAAATTAGTCGGCCCCGGCAAATTAGAAGGCACACACAGTTTGTCCTGGCAGCTTTCGACATGCAAATGCCAAAATAATGAGAGTTCCAGTTAGTTGGTTCCAAAAAAAAAAAAAAACCAAGGGAAAAGTCAGACAGAGAGGCTTTCCACTTTGATTAAAGGCTTTTTCAAATTGCAAAAGGGGAGGGATGGTAAAAGACCTGTTGTCAGGTAAATTGAAATATAATTGAGCCAACGGCGAGCAGGTCGCCCTGTCAGCTCCACCTGGCAGCCAGCTTTTCATCTGGTTCCACTTCACTGCCATGGCTTATTAGGACAAGGCGACAGGTCGTATGCGTGATGCGTTCAAAATGTTGTCATTGTCTGGCCAAAGTGAAATTCATTGTCAGCGGGGAAGGGCTGAATATTTTCAACAGCATCAGCAATTTGCATAGTTTCATTTTGTGTCAACAATTTTTTGGCACAGTGGTTTATAAATACGGTTTAAGGAAGTTATTTATAACTATTAAATAACAATAGTGAACAAGGAAATCACAAAATAAATTTTAAACTGTTTTAAATATATAGAAATTTGTGAGTTTAAACATAAAGTATACAAGAAGCGGGTAGAAAAAGAATTTGATTTTTATACCCCTAGCTTAAACTATAAATTATATAATTTGGTCTGGCCTATAAAACCAAAATATAATCAAAATATATATCTCAACTTAAAATTAAAAGAACAATTAATATTTAACCCGACTATAAACAGAAAAGCTAGATTTGTTAAATAAAATATGTTTTTAAGGACCTACAAATCTAGTATTTTTCGATCTAATGAAATGATCTCATTATCCCAAAAAAGCAATGAAATATTTTCAACCCAAATCTCAGAGCCCAGATTTGATTTTGACTTAATTTAGTTTTGCAAAATATATTTTAACCCAAATCCCCACCTATCACCTAAAGAGATTAATTATTTTTTAAGGTTAATTAAAAGTTGTGCTTTAGATTGAGTTAAAATTAATGAAATTATAACAGACTCCACTCTTCTGCTGCTTTTGTCGAGTGCCAAAAGAGAAGTTCTTGTGCCACAGAATTTTGTTAGAGGTTGCCCAACTCAAAAGTTGCAGCGGTGAGACTTCATTAAAATATTTACGCCCATCACCGCCCCACTGTGCGGTGTTGGAAAATTGTGTGAAAATGTTGTGTGTTGCGTTGCTTTTCCCTCGGTTGTTGCCAAAAAGTTGGCCTGCTGCAGTTTGGTTTTCCCGGCAAGTGACGTGCTGACGGGCGTCGTTCTGGCAAAATTGTCATCAAGCGTTTTTAATTACAAGCCGAGCGAGATTTGGGGGCCCCAAAAGGGGCGTGGCATGATGGCAGGGGGGGGGGGGGGGGGGGGGGGGTTGCGGTTGTTGTTTCTGCGGGCAGCCGTAGAGCTGCAAGTGACATAAGCAAATCAGACGCCTGTCAAGTCGTATATGTTTCGTTGTTTGTGCTTACGTCACTGGCAGGACAACCCCCAGGAAATACACCACCCCCACACCCCCCCCCCCCCCATGTTGCCATTAGAAATGTCACAACAACCAAACAGCAGCAGCAGCAGCTGCAGTCCTGCCCTCAAATGAGAACAACCTATTTCGTATCCTTGACGACCAGCTGAAAATTCTGTTTCAAAATTCAACAACCTCCCCCCCAAAAAATTCCCAATAGCCATATCATGATCAAAAACTGGGCGGGGTCACCATCAATTGGCAGCTATTTTCGGTCTTCTTGGCCATTTCGAATTTCAAATGAAAAGCCAAGCAATAATGTCTCCTCGTTTGACATCCGCATTTAATATCGAAAGCTGAAATGAACATTTCCATTTGCAATTCGAGCCGAGGGGTTTCGGTGCTTTTATAAAATCGTTTTTAAACCCCCCCCACCCACCTTGTTTATTGGAAATGGAAATAAACATTGGCCCAATCTCGTTTTAATTTTACAGACATTTTCCTCATTTATTGGCCTGCTCACACAGAGAGGAAAAACTTCAAGTATATCTTCAATGACAATTGACTGCGATTGAAAGCAATAAAGTTAAGAGAGCAGAAGTCCATTGAAGTGCACAATTATTTTATTTGAAACTGAGTACAGGCATTTAACTATTTATGGAGCCACTTAAAGTGTTTTTTTTTCGGAGTATTTATATATATTGGGGAATGGGTGAAAGAAGCTTAAAGGATTTTAAAAATATATGTTGCAAGATAACTAAAATCCTTTAAGGTGGTTTAATATTTACAATGTTTTTTTCTTTACTTGGGGTTTTTAAATTGCTAGGAAGGATACATTTGAATTTGGTAAAAGTGGCTGAATTTTTATCTTAGAATATTTCCTTTAAAAATCAATTTAATACCAAAAATCTAAAGCTTTTCCCAAAGGGATTTCATAAAACTTTTTAAGTAATCGAGAAAGCTCTCCCCCTTGATAAACTAAAAATATATAGGAAACCATTATTTATCTAATACTATTTCCTAAAAAAACAATTTAATACCAAAAATCTAAAGCTTTGCCTAAAGGGATTTAATAAAACTTTTTAAGTAAACGAGAAAGTTCTCCCCTTTGATAAACTAAAATTCCATAGAAAACCATTACACTAATTATAATCCTAATTACCTTATCTATCATCAGTCACTCTTTCTTTCTGTGCAGTAATTAACAATTAATAACTTCTCAAACGCCTACTTTTCAATGGTGATTCCGCTGTTTAATGTTAAACCGATTAAATGAATTCTAATTACACTTGAAGGGGGCTCATTAAGGCAACCAGGCACATGTTCTGTCAGCGTTTTCAGGACAACCCACAAAGGATGCGGATTGTAACAGGATCTGTAATATAAGCAGACAGGTTCAAGGTCTGGCAGACAATCGTTGTTGTCTCTGTAGACGAGGGAAAGGAAAGGATCCCCTTTTGCATGTGAATATTGTAGGATTTATGGCTCAGCCCGGAATACGCCCCACCAATCCAATACTTGGAGGGCTTGAGGGGGCCAGCTGAGGGGACAGCTTTGATGATGGAGTGCGATATTGTTGCGTTTTAATTGAATTTTCTTTGTGGCCCAGAAGCAGCAGCACCGCCAGCAGCAGGAGCACGACAAATACAATAAAGGACCAAACAGCAGGAATCGCAGGGAGTTGGGCAGTTGGGGATTCCCCCTCCGTTCAGGCAAAGTGGCAATGAAGGCAATAATGAAATGAAATTCACTAACAAAAGGCAGCCAACTATTGTTTTTATTGCCTTTTGTCGCTGTCGCTGTCGCCGTTTGCTGTTGCGAATGCGCTGCAATTGTGTCGTTTGCCTTCCTCCTCCGGCGGTCATGTCCTTTTGTCCTTTTTTCACACAGGAGCTGCGTTGTCAGACAACCACCACACCAAATAATATAATTCCCGCATATTGCCAACGGCGGTGGTTTTTTAATAAAAACGTTATCCACCTGCTGCTGCTGCTGCTGCCTGATGGAGATTTAGTGTCCAGGGAAAAGCCACTTGGATGCGATCCATCCACTTGAACTCGGCCGCAGTTATGCAGATTTCCTAGGGAATTGTGCAGATTTTTCTTGTGTTTATTAGACCGATTTTCTGTCCATTTTTTTTTTTTGGACCAACAGTTTCATGTTTTATGAGAATAAATGTGCTGCGTAGGCAGGAATTTAAGCGAGTGAGTTCTGTGGGGAAACGAGTACAGAGTACAGAATACAGACTTGCTGTTTGCTCAAGACGAGTTCGCAATTTCCTACAGCTGAGCTCCAGAGAACTACGGAATATTCCCCCCCCCCCAGGCGGCTGTGCAAACATAATGCTCGGCGAATTAAAGCTTTTTTGCCAGCCAATAAATTATTCATGCCGTAAGACAACCGAGCGAGGGGCAAAATTATAGCTAAAGATGCGAGGGGGGAGGGGAGATGACTTCGAGCGGAAACGGAACTCAATTCATTAAAATGAATGAACGGAGGAGCAGCGCAGCCGAGTGCATGACTAACGGTAAACGGATGCAAGCTGAAAGATGCAAATCCGGCAGCTGAAATTGCTGTTTCTGTTGCCAAAGTCGATGGGAAGTTGGCCCTTTTTGCGAAGGCTATGGCGAAGAGGGTCCTTAGTTGGCCCAAATTAGATGGGGTACGGAAATATGGAAATTTATACAGTTTCCTGCAACTCAAGTGTCCTGTGAGTGAGCAGTTTACTTGAGCGGAAACCCCTTTTCGAAGCACTGAAGGGTGGTAATCTTGATTGCAATATTGCCTCCAAATCACCAGCGGCGCTCACATCACCTATATGTACATTCGATACATATTAAACAGGGAATGGTTAATAATTTGCCGCTGCTTGAATTCATTTTTAATTGGTTTCGTGTGTTAATTATAGCGAATCTAGATTTCGGAAATGTTATACTTAAGCTGGGCTTTAGGTTTCAAGCGAATAGAGAATGGTCACTTAAATACATATTGATGCAGTTTGGTTGGCTTTAAACATGAGGAGGAATAATTCATGGTTGCCCAGGTTGGGAAATTGAAAACGTTAGGTAATTAACAAACATCGAGAATAATATATTAAATTACAGGCCGTGGGAAATACGCTTATGTGATTTTACTATATTTGTGTTATTCTGTAAATTGAATGTTTATTTAGACAGGTAATTTAGGCTTAAATGTCCAAACCTAATAGGAATAAATACCATTTAAATTATATTTAATTTGAAATATTACATTTTCGGTTTTTTTTTACTTTCAGGCCTGCAGTTTGTCAACGCCGAAGAGCATTCGAAGCAATGGCAATGGTCATTGCACTAGCGGAAGTGGCAGCTTGAGTCTTTTTGGGGGAATCCCCACTGGCAGCACCATCACAATGGCCAGTCACGGGGACAAGGGAAACCAGAGGCTGCGACGCATCCCGAGTGTCCAGCCCGGTGCCCTCAGCTACGAGGAGCTGGTCAAGGAGGGCACCTTCGGCAGGATCTTCGCCGGCAAGCTGGGCGAGTCCTGCGAGGCGCTGGTGAAGACCGTCATCGACGGTGCCTCGCTCACCCAGGTGGCCTGTCTGCTGCAGGACGCCTCGCTCCTGATCGGCGTCAGCCACCAGCACATCCTGGCCCCACTGCTGGCCAACACGGAGCTGCCGGGTCCGCCGGAGATCGCCTATCCCTATCCGTCCAAGGGCAATCTCAAAATGTGAGTAACAACCATAAAAAATCGATTATTAAAATCTAGGAAATATTATTGCTTTTCAACCAAGAACAGGTGTTGTAAAAGTGACTAGACTGAAAAATATGTTGTTGCTTACAACACTCTTTATTGCTTTAAAAGCAAATTCGCTTTGATAGGTATAGCAGCCCTTTATTTTGAATAACAGTCTTAAAGATCGTTAAGCTATTTTTCTTAACTTGTCGTGGTCTCTTCTAATTAAAGAAAAGAAAAAATATAATAATAAATTTAAGAACAAGTTTTTACATTTATTTGAATTTTATACATTTTAATGAAGGCCATTAACTTTACAAAATGTAGTATATTCCTGAAATGTCAGTAAAAATGTTAAAACTTTTTAAAATAATTATAAAAGTGTTTTTTACAATCTTTGAATTATTGAAAATAATGTAGATTTAAATACAGTTTCCATATAAACCTAAAGTTTAATGCCGATTCCCCAAAGACTTTAGCGTTCAGATTTGGCCAAAAAACATTATATAAAATTTATAAGACACTTCAAGACCATTTTTTTAATTTCTCCCCCTTATCAGATACTTGCAAAAGTCTCGGGAATCGAGCACGGCACTAAGTACCCGGCAGCTGGTGGAGTTTGGACTGCACATCACTAAGGGATTGGCCTATCTGCACTCCCTGGGAATCGTCCACAAGGACATTGCCACACGCAATTGCTAGTGAGTATTTATACATTCTACCAGATTTTCCTAACTCTGAAAGCCTTTAACATACCCATTACTATTACTTTATTAACCCTGCTTCACAGCCTTGACGAAGAGTCCTATGTGAAGATCTGCGATAGCGCCCTGTCGCGCGATCTCTTCCCAGACGATTACGACTGTTTGGGTGACAACGAGAATCGCCCCCTGAAGTGGCTATCGCTGGAATCGCTCCAAAAAAGGGTTTACGCCACCCAGGGGGATGTGTGGGCGTTGGGCGTGACCTACTGGGAGCTGGTCACACTGGCCCAGATGCCGCACGAGGAGGTGGACATTTTCGAGCTTACCAATTACTTGGCTGCCGGCTTTCGGCTGGAGCAGCCGGTCAACTGCCCAGATGAATTGTGAGTACACCCCACCGCCGAAGAAATATTGCTGAAATTAAAAAATATATATATTTCCCAACTTTCTACCCGAATAACCAACCCTTAGCTTTACCGTTATGAACTGCTGCTGGCACAGCGAGGCCAAACAGCGACCTACGCCCTCACAGTTGCTCTCGTATCTGCAGGACTTCCATGCGGATCTGGGCATGTACATCTAGAGGGTGAGACGAAGGACTGACGAAGGACGAGCGGTAACCAAGTGAAGTCGAGCGGAGCGAAGCCCAACATATAAATTAATTGAAACTTTTGCATTTTAAATGTGAGATTAAATGTGAATTTACCTGTTAGAGTTTGGCGCAAAACCAATTAGAATGAAAGCCAGCTAACTTCAGATACGTAAGCAACACGCCGATACACATACACACAAGTACACTGGGGTGAACCTCTACTAGTTGAATATAATACTTTAATAACAAAAAAAATAGCTTAAGATAATGGAGACTGGGAGAAAAGGGCTTAGGAAAGATCATGTAAAAGAGGGGTACAGGCAAGGTCACACTGCGTATGAGCAATGCCTAAATTTAAACATCGAATATTTTAAGGTCACACTGCGTTTGTGTGATACTGTTTAGCACCAATGCACTGCCCTTTAAACCTAAAGTCACTCTGAAAAGATAGTGTCAACCAAGGTCACACTGCGTATGAGTGATACTCAAGACCAACTCACTGCCCTCGACAACCGATGCACTTCAAAAGTCAAATAGCAACTGAGGTTCACCCAGCAATAGAGCAGCTATCAATTTTCAACCCGCTGACACAAAATGGCCCCCAGGCGGCACGTGGGTTAAACGTTAGATAAAACTGACATTTAAGTAGTTAGCAATTGAATAACAAACACTCACAAGCAGCGAAACACACACACCTACAGACAAACATACACAAACCTTACATGATAAATGAATGTGAATTATTGATGTGCATATTTTATTGAATGTGTGTAGTGTGTAAGCAAAAAGGACGAAGGATTCAAGCGGGGGAGAGATGCGACAACAGGATGCGGAATCTTTTGTTCACGATTGTTGTCCTCGAGATTGTTACGAAAGCGATATATTTATTTACCTTGATTATTATTATTACTATTGCGTATGTCATAAGGGAGGAAGTTCAAAACAGAATCTGAATCAGGTGAAAAGGAGAAAGAGCAAATGTTAAACCGATGGCAAACAACCGATAAACATTATTCACACCCACTACCACAGAAACACAAGCACACTTGCAGGCGTAGGGCTCCCCTTTAACCCCCTGAAAGCCGGACACCCTTTAGTCCCCTTAACCCTTAACTTGCTCCTCGCTCGCATAGCGCTCTAATTCAGTTTTGGAGAAACTTGTCGCAATCGTTTCGTTGCTCAATTATTTCGATGTCAAAGGACGATGGCAGGACGTGCCATAAAATATGCAATATGCAGCTGAGATTTCGTTCAGTGCATTTGTAGGTGTGTGTGCAACGCATTTGTCTCCGAGCCAAAATCCCCAGCTTAAGACATCCGTGCAGTTTGTTTATGCCTTTTAGTTGAATTAGCCAAGAGTTGTTTATGTTTGTGTCTCTCTGTTTCCATTTCCCCAGAGTTATGTATTAATTTGCATTTCCGTTAGCCAAGTCAGGCGGCAACTTAAAGTTGTCAAGCCCCCAAAAACACCCAAACACTTGGAAAATATGCTGGGATGGTTGAAGGTGTGACAAGAAAACTTGGATGATGAGAATACTTATTTTCCTTATTTAAATTTTACTAGAAACAGCTTCACCCATCCCAATATATTCTCTAATTAGTAAATAACTAAAGCATTGCCGTTACCACTTAAACGTAGTTTCAATGTTCTCTGTAATAATCAAACACAAATGAATCTGCAAAATAATGAAAATAAAATAAAGTACAGTCACGCACCGAAACAACTAAGGATGAAATAGAAAATAGTTCCAAACTAAACAGCTGCTTATTCGTCTAGCTACGTAAGCTGACTCCAGTATTGTTTATCTTTAAGCTTCGCACTCGACTATGGAAACGTTACTAAAGCAAATACTGAACTGCAAACTATCAAAGCTCTCTGCATTTAATAAATATTCCCCACTAAAAACAAAAAAAATAAATAAATAAGGCTGCCAGGCAGCTCCCACACATACACAGACAAACACCCACACAAACACCTACAATTATCCTGTGGAGACAAGCAAATTTCAAATAGATTATAAAGCTAAGGAGATGCCGCTCTTCAATCAAAGGAGCAGCCCACTACTATAACTAACTGAATGTGTTTCATGTTTATATATGTGTACGTGAGTGTATGTCTATGACTAAACGTATATTTTGTCGTCAAATTGAAAACTAACTGTAAAGGCTATTAAGTGGAAAACAAAACCAATACCAGCAAACGTGCAAAGCCCGGAAGGAAAAGGCTAATACAAACACAAACACACACGCACACAGATACACAATCACACAGATACACACTCACACTTCTAGACACACCCCATAAACCACAAAGCAAAACAAATTGTCATTCACTCTACATATGTCTCACTCTTTAACTCTATATAGATGTATCTCTCTGTATCCTACTTTTAGATATACTCTAGCGTATGATTGTATGTGTATACACAGAAACTCGAAACTAGTGCGTTTTTCGTCTAAAAAAACAAAATGAATGAAGGAATATCTGCTAAGACACACACAAACACTCGAAACGCCCTCACACCTCTAACACCCCACCCCACCCCGTCTATCTATCCGAAAGCTATCATATGAATGGCAGTGGGCGTGGCACTAAGACAAAGCTAAGAACCAGAACCACAACTGAAAGCAGAAATTCAATTTTTGTGAAGAGCAACAGCCGAAAACGATAAAGAATAAGGCAAAAAAACAAAAAAACAAAGCAAATAAATTAAATGTTCCTTTTGAATCATAAACAAAAATTGCAATCTGAGCAATCCGAGTGCTTTATTAATCAACTGGAGGTTTGTATAATGGGGGGCAGTACGAAAAAAATGGGGATGCATCGAAGGTCTGGGGTGAAGGTCTGGGGATTTGGACCGATTCGATGTGCAAGCCGGATCCATGCGAGGGCACGTTCGCACACAACAGGAGCGGTTTCGGGGATTTTCAGAATTGGGCGACACTTATATGGGGCCGTAAAATCAAACGGACCTCTGGCTGATGATTTCGCTCTATTCGCTATCGTGTGTGGCATTGTAATTTCTCTAGGGGCAATCCTTATGTATATTAACATATACTTCGCGGGATGACAGTTCTATGTCTGATACCCCGTAAATGTTTGTTTTTAGTTTTTTATTTAAGCCATGTTAGCTTTAGCTAAGAATGAGGAAGAATAACCAAACTCTTGTTATTAAAGAAAATAGGCCCAAACTACAGTCGTATAACATATAAAATAAGCTATCGAAGCCGGATTTTAAAGTTCATAGTAAAATACTGAGCTTTATTTTTTTAATAATGGTCTGCTTTAATTAAAAAAAAAAATGTTTTCAAATGTCTTTATATGAGATTTTTTATTACTCAATGATCCTAAAATATGCATTCAAACTTTGCTAAAAGCTAGCTTTAATAGACCTTTAAAGAGAAGTGAATTGATGTACAATTTAATCCGGGTTTCGTATTCAGAAGGGTTTTAAGACGTCACCCCTGCCTTTTTTGGAACCGCTCCTGTACAGGGTCCACCATTCCTTTGCTCAGACAAACATATTTGCCGTGCGTGTCAAAAACTGAGCGATGCGCATTTGGTGACCCCACGTTACCCCTTCTTCATGGGATTCGTTTGTGCCGCTCTAATTACAAAGAATATTAACTCAAGGATGTCGACTTTTAAGTACCCTAAATGTAATACAGAAATTATACAAAAATTTAAAGGGAAATAAAAGTATAAGAAACAAAGCCTGTATTATAATAAATCCTCGGAGATCCCATACTATCCTATTCTACATCACATGACAACTTTTTCATATTTAAAATTTCTCACATGAATATCCTTTTCCATACGTCACATTTGACCTGAAAAAGTCAGTTTTCCCGCTCCAAACAGCGTCCAAAGATTGTGTATACCCACTTACCAGTCTGTACCTCGGGTATACTCAATCTTTTTTGCTCTCGCCCTCTGACCTGTCACTGGACATTCGCTTTTTCAGCCGTTCTCATAACGGCAAACTTTGACTGGCAGCCCCACAAGAGGGGGGGGGGGGCGTGACCCAAGGTGGGGTGAAAGCGGCGTTATGTGTTTTTGTGCCCCTGAGCCGGCAAAAAATGGAATCGGAAAACAAAACAAGCTAAATGGGAAAATCCGGGCCCACGTTTGTCAAGGAACAACATTGTTGGCCCTGTGTGTGTGCCCCCTACTCGGGGAAAATGGGAAATCAGAAGTGCGAGATGCGGAAGTCTCCAACGCGGATATACCAACAGGTGTTTGTGCGGCCATTCCATGGGATTAAGTTTTGTAATTAGCCAAGTCTGATTGAATTGGAAATCATGTTTGGGAATTAATGAGCAATTAGTTGACGCATTATGAGTGTCTGTCCACTCGATTTGTGGGGGTTGCGTTGATAAGATCGCGGGATTAGATGGGGCTTATGAATAATGCATATCTACACGATATTACAAAGCTTCTGCTGAGAGTGTAAATATGGTCATTGGATATAAATCTTCTAAAAGTTAATATATGTTTCTTTTTTTAAAGATGGAATACAATAAGTTAAGTCATCTAGAAGTCTTGTTAAAATGTAGAGCAGTTCCTCTTTAAAAAGTACTATAATCTATAATTAACAACAAAATAAACATTTCCTCTTCATAAATTAATAAATAAGTATATGCTTAATTGAAAACTATAATTCCTGAACTTTAACTGGTCTTATTTGTTTGTTTGATAGTGTTCGTTGATTGATAAACGAGGTTGGCTGCCTTCGCTTGGGTTCAACAAGCCCATTTGGCAGGCATAAATCAGAATTCCTGATTGCGTTTATCGCAGCATTTTGCTATTTTAATCTATTTAGCATTTAATTGGCAGCCAGAGGACCTGAGAACAGGCATGAAATATGCAAAACGCTTTTTAAATCATTTAAAAAGGCTTTATTATTTATGAATTCAGATGATTTGTGGCACTATAACCATGCAATCGATACCGCCAGGCACTAAACCAATTAAATATGAGTAAACATATCAGGCGGTCTTTGGTGGCAAATGATCGATATGTTAGATTACAATATAATGTATGTTTTTATCCTGCGGTTTTCACAGTGCATTTTTTGCGCCCGCCATTTTCAACTCAATCGGTTTAATTGTTTATGCAGTCCGCGTTTGCCCGGAATGTTAAACAAATTGCGGTATTGCGGGCATATTGCATTTTTATCTGCTGTGCATTATGTGCCTTGTGTCTCGTGCCACTGCCACTGCAGCAGATGTGTTTTTTACCGCTTTTAATTAAAATGATGTATAAACTTACACATACAGATGACGAGGCCGCAGAACTGCAAACCACAAAATAAATAGATTCCCCCTTTTTCGAACGAGCTGAAAGCCCGCAACTGCGATTATGTTTACGAGTTCTCGGCCATAAGGCTCACTGGATTGTTATTACAGCTTCCAGTTATCGCAGTGGATTTTCCATTTGATTAAACGTAAATATTGTAGGAAAAACAATGACCAAAAAAGAAAAAAACTACCAGACTTGGAACTGCCAATTGTTTTGGGTAAGTTCATCAATTTGACAGCGCAAATGGGTTTCGTTGTTCGCAGTTTGTTAGTTATATGCTGCAGTTGCATTAATTAAAATTTTACACCCGGCTGCACGGCGAGCAACAATAAACCACTGGAATAATTCAACTTGATAGACAGCAAGACCGGCAATTAAACATTCGGTGCACCCAAGATCGAATCTGAAGTTGTGTCTGCCACAACAGCAAACGCCAACTTATCGCCAGCTGCAGCTTTTGGCCATTTGGCTGAGTAATTTGTGGGCGGTGCTGACAGCCAAGGATAACAAAAGTGCCGGAAAAAAAAACATTAACGAACTATACCAAAATATCTGTGATTCATTTGAAGTCGCTGAAAAGCAGGCAACACATTTTTATCACACATTTAGAATTTATTTCAGATATTTTTAAGCTTTCAGCTTTGTTTGTCTCTAACTATAATTCTAACTATAGTAAGAATATTCAATTTAAAATTTAATGTAGGCTTATATTTTGAGAATCTTCTTCATTTATGACTTAAAAAATTATTTATTAAAGCGATTACTTTGTCTTAGTTTTCAGTTTATTGCTTATATTTGTCTTGCTGCATTTATTTTGTTTTTTATATTGTCCAAAATAAAGAAAAAAAATATTTTTTAAAAATAATTTTGTCTTAGTTTTCAGTCTATTGCTTATATTTGTCTTGTTGAATTTAATTCGTTTTTTATATTGTCCAAAATAAAGAAAAACAATTTTTCTTATTATGAAAGAAAAGAAAAAATTTTTATTTTTATTTTGTGGATAGAGATATTATAAATTAAAATATTAATAATTACACCAATTTACTTATAAATTATTTAAATCAATGTTTTCTAGACTAATTTGTTGAAGTTTTTGCAAGGCTCTTTAAGAATGCAGACCTAGCTTTAAAAAAGCCAAGTTCGCATATCTGGCAGTTTGGCTATTGATAAAATAAAATGGCAAAAGCAGTTTACAACTTTCGACCGTTTACAACTAACAAAGGGTCACAAATCAAGTTGGTCGGAGGGTTGGCTCGTGACTAACCGGAAGTCGCCATGTGCAAGAATTCCAGCAGCCCCGCCACCAAATCCCCCACCCCCCCCCCATCCACACCCCCAAAAACCCACCCTTTTCATTTTCCAAGTTGGGCCGCCTGCAGTGTTGCGATTTAATTAAAGCGCCATTAAGTCGGCAATTAACAACAACAACAGCAATAGCAACAATGGCAACCGAAGCACAGCAACAACAACGGCAACAAAGGGCAAACAACTTTGACGCCCTGGCTTCGGCTTTACGTTTTCCTTTTGTATTTGCCGCTTCCGTTTCCGCTGCTCCCGCTTTCATTATGTTTGCTTTTTACCTTTTTTGCTTTGTTGCTGCTGGCGCATTAAATTCTTTTTGCACTGTTATCGCTTAGAGAATTCATTAGCAATTGCAGGGGGGACATTCAGTGGGCCTGGCCAGAAACCATTTTGCATATGGCTGAAAAAAACTCTAAGCAAAGGACCCACACCACCAGGAATATTGGTAAAAGTCGCCAACTTTTAGTGCCGCCAACTGCATCCACACAACCTATAATGCAAAACTACTTTAGTTGGCATTTTTCCTTGAAGTCCCTGGAATATTCCAAGAATTTCTGAATACTTAAACAAATAAATCTTTATTGTTTAGCTTTCTGGTAAATAGGTCTCCTTAGAAAGAAACTGGTCTAGTTTGAACATTTTTACTATAATATACGGTATAAAATATACACAAGTAAGTATATATATAATTAGTTTAATATATTCATTTAATATAGTCATTCCATTAATTTTAATTAAACACACTCTAACAATATCATAAAAAGTATGTTTTATATGACCTAGTGGGTGGCTGGCAGAAATAATAGTGAGTTTGAGAAGAAAAATATTAAAAACGGGAAAACATTTCCTCAATTTGTTTAT